GTCCTTATCACCCCCAGGGCCCAAGCACATGCCCCCTAGAAACCCCAGGTCTGAGCACACACCCCAGCAACCCCTGGGTCTGAGCACCCAGTGCCCCCCCCCCAGCCTGAGCACCCCTGGCTCCCAAGCACACCTCCCCCAGACTCCCCAGAGACCCCCAGGCCTGAGCACACACCCTTCAGCCCATCTGGGCCGGAGCATGCACCCCCTAGCACCCCGTGCCCTCAGCGCACAGTTTGGCACCCCCAGGCATGAGCATGTACCCCCTCAACACACTCCCAGCACCCCCACGCTTGGGCACGACCCCCCAGCCCACCTGGGTTTCAGCACACACCCCTGACACCCCTGGGCTGCCCAGGAGAAGTGGAACAACAGCCCCAGCAGCTCCTCTCTCAGTCCTGGGGTGGAGATAGACACCAGTGAGCCCCGTCCCCCCTAAGGCCCCAGCTTCATGTACCCCCAACCCGGCTGGCCCCCAGTGCTGCACGCACAGGCCTGCCACATGTTTGGGGCTGGTCCTTGGCAGCTCCCCTGGCACCTTGTGGGGGGGGACGCGGCAGCATGCTGGTGCCGGGAGCTGTGCAGCTGGTGGAGCGGGGCAGGGCAGGGGTTAATGAACGTGGCTGACCAGCAGCAGGGCAGGCAGAAGGCAAGGCCTCAGCACCAGGCCTGTCCTGTCCTGTCCCGTCCTCTGGGCCTTGCTGTAGGGGAGCTGCAGCACCCCGCATCCCTGGGCCAGGCCCTGCATGCAGCACCGGGACACCTGCCCAGCCACCCCGCCCCTGCCTGAATGCCAGCACCTGCTGTCGGGACAGGCTGCCATGGTGGTGTCAGTTGCTGGCAGTCATGGGCACAGCTCCAGCTTGTCCTTCCCCACTGGCAGAGGCTGGAGCTTCATCCTCCAGCAGGGCCTCCTCCTGGCACGGGAAGCCGGGCGGGCAGAGAGGTGGGTGTGGAACAAGCCGATGGGAACCGGCCTGTGGAACTTGCTGCCACAAGACGCTGCAGGAGCCAACAGCTCGGGGGGGCTGTCGGAGGGAGCTGGCCGTGGCTGTTGTGGGCACCAGCTCCAGCTTAGGCCTCCCAGGCTCTGTGCAGCACCGGTGGTAGCAGGGGCCAGGACGGGCAGGTCTGCCCGAGCAAGGCTCTGCACAGGCACCCCCCCCTCAGTGACCTCCCTGCTGTCCTTCAGCCTCTCCGGGCCATGTCTTTCCCTGCAGGCTGAGCAGGTGCCAGTGCCTGTCCCCTCTGCTGGGGCCTGCCTGGGGCTCGGCGTCGTTGCGCCCCTTGCAGCCCCCTGCTTCCTCGCCGCAGGGGCTTTCTGGGACATCCTGCTCAGGCCAGGCCTCTGCTGTGCCTGGTCCCTGCGAGCACGGGATGCTTTGGGGCTCCCAGTTGCAAGGGGGCTGTCTAGGCCCCGTGTGCCCGCTGCCAAAGCCAGACCCTTTGGAGACCACAGAGGCTAAGCCGGCCTGGTCCCAGGGCAGCTGGAAGACCCAGCTGGCTTTGCAGGATGGGGTCCCAGGTCCCCAAGCTAACAGTGGTCCACATTGGGACTGGGGCGGGGACGGAAACCCTCCAAACCTTTAACAGAGATGAGAAACAGAGCAAACTGTCCCAGATCAGCTAGCAGCCCTGGGCTCGCAGCGGGGACGGGCAGGCCAGGCCTGAGCCCCCACACCCGGCTCTCCTGGCCCAGGAGCAGGAGCTCTCTCTGGTCCCACGGGGATCTTGCCAAAGCTGAAAGGTTCTTGCAGGAACACGGGTATTGAAGAAATGACCTTGTGCGACCCCCTCGCAGCAGCTGGGAGCCCTCCTGTAGCAGGGGGCAAGGCGCTGCCCTCGGGCACTGTAGCCAGGGCAGGCTGGAGGGGCCAGGGCCAGGGCCGCGGCCAGGGCCAGGCAGTAGGGTACGGTGGGGCTCGCTAGCCGGCAGCT